TCGCGTTGCTGAGTCTGCGTCTGTCTGTCCTCTGTCCGTCGGGGGTGAGTGTGCTCTTGGCACGGACGTCCTAGAGGACAGGCAGGAGGAGTTACAGTGTCTAGCGGCTGCTTCACCTCATCTCGCGTCTGTACTGCTTGCCCCTGAGGGAGACCCGGATGCACTAGACATCCCGACTCCGCGTTCTTACGCGGAGGCCGTAGAGGGTCCCTACTCCTCTCAGTGGCAGGCAGCTATGGATGCAGAGATGGCTTCCTGGAAGTCCACAGGCACCTACGTTGACGCGGTTCCCCCTCCTGGGGCGAACATCGTCAGTGGCATGTGGATCTTCAGGGTGAAGCGGCCGCCGGGCTCTCCACCTGTCTTCAAGGCACGGTACGTTGCTCGTGGCTTCAGTCAGCGGCAGGGAGTTGACTACTTTCAGACCTTCTCTCCCACCCCGAAGATGACCACTCTTCGGGTGCTGCTGCACATAGCCGCTCAGCGCGACTACGAGCTTCACTCTCTCGACTTCAGCACTGCGTTCCTGCAGGGTAGCCTGCACGAGGAGATCTGGCTGCGCCGTCCACCTGGCTTCACTGGGACTTTCCCTCCTGGCACCCAGTGGAGCCTCCGACGGCCAGTCTACGGTCTCTGCCAGGCACCGCGTGAGTGGCACGACACACTGAGGACTACGCTTGCGGCTCTTGGGTTTGCTCCTTCTACTGCTGACCCGTCGCTGTTTCTGCGCACCGACACTTCACTGCCGCCGTTCTACATCCTCGTGTACGTCGACGACTTGGTCTTTGCCACAGCGGACACTGCTGGACTCGCCTACGTGAAGTCCGAACTGCTGAAGAGACACACGTGCACAGACCTGGGTGAACTGCGCAGCTACCTTGGCTTGCAGATCACTCGGGACAGAGCACGCCGCACCATTACCTTGACTCAGTCACACATGGTGCAGCAGGTCCTTCAGCGCTTTGGCTTCACGTACTCCTCGCCTCAGGCCACTCCTCTGCCTACTCGCCACTCACTCTCAGCTCTGCCTTCGGATGAGTCCGTAGAGTCGAGTGGTCCGTATGCAGAGCTTGTTGGCTGCCTCATGTACCTGATGACCTGCACACGACCTGACCTTGCATACCCTCTGAGCATTCTTGCACGCTATGTTGCTCCTGGGAGACACAGACCAGAGCACATGGCTGCAGCGAAGAGGGTATTGCGCTACCTGTGCAGTACGTCGGGCATGGGGCTAGTGCTTGGAGGGCGGAGTCCAGTGGTCCTTACCGGCCACGCGGACGCTTCTTGGGCTGACGACCAGGCTACGCAGCGGTCGTCACAGGGTTACACCTTCAGCCTTGGTTCCGGCTCTGTCTCGTGGCGGTCTACTCGCTCGTCTTCGGTTCTCGGCTCCAGTTGTGAGGCTGAGATCTACGCCGGGGCCATGGCTGCACAGGAGCTTCGCTGGCTCACCTACCTGCTGACTGACCTTGGAGAGCCGCCTCGTTCTCCTCCAGTGCTGTACGTAGACAACAAGGCCATGCTGGCCTTGTGTCGAGAGCAGCGCTTGGAGCACAGAACGAAGCACATTGCTCTCCGCTACTTCCTTGCTCGTGAGCTGCAGCAGCGTGGTCAGTTGCGACTTGCGTACGTGGCCTCTGAGGCCAACACTGCTGATGTGTTCACCAAGGCACTCGCGCCTTGTGACCATCAGCGCTTTTGCACCCAGCTGGGTCTTGTGCCTGTCTTGCCTCACTTGCTCTCCTCTTGACTTCACTTGTACTGTGACATATATATATACCTGCTCTTGCTTGTCTAGTTTTATATATATGTCTGTACTCCTGCATGTGAACTGGCCTCTGGCCCTGCTCTTGTGCTCGGACTGTGTGGTGACTTTGTGATCCACCCTGAGCTTGCTTTGCTTTGCTTGACTGGTCTTGTGACCCCTTGTTCTCCCCCACTTTGCCTATGGGGGTGTGTCAAACATTATATATGTTCTGCTTGTGTAGGCTACAGTGGGTTAGCCTATAGGGGGTACACAATTATAGGGTTTCCTACTTGTACTCATTTCACTGCTAGTTCATTCACTTTTCCTGTTCGCTTATTCTCACACCTCCGTGTAGAATGTGAAACAATGTAGAAGTTGTATTTTGCAATCAAATGTTCCAGATGTGCTATGGACTTCAAACGGTTTGATGTTCCTTGACAATACAACGCGAGTTGTCAAGAATTGTATCGTTTATGGAACTGCATACAATATAGTTAATGTAGTAACACGAGTGTCTGCAATTGAAATAGACACCAACGTGACGTAGCATTTTCTTGACACAAAAACTCAATCCGTAACTCCCAACGGCACATTCATGTTTATACGATGCGCGGACTGTTGATGGGTAGCACGCACGTTTCTTGTCAAGCATGTACGATAGAACAAGTTGAATGTGCAACGCACGATGGCGAAAGCCGGTACCGTATTCCTTCCGCATTGCACTGCAAAAGAAGCAATGACTGAGGTTTACGTCTAGTGAGATTCACAAGCCTTCCTTAGTTGCACTGTACCAACAAAATCTCCCCCTTCTTTTGTAATCAGATCACTCCAAACAAAATCTCCCCCAATTTTAGGTGGGGCTTCGAACCAACCATTGTGGATTGAAGAGCTTACGGTAAAGATTATATGGGGCTTAAAGCCTCTTCTCTTCATGTGTGTGTGTGTGTGTGTGTGTGTTTTTTTTTTTTTTTTTTTTTTTTTCATGTTATATCGTATACACATTGCAATGTCCAAGGATGATCCACATCAACGTATACAAAAATTAAAGGTTTTGCACATCTAACATTGGAGTCTGCATGGTAGTGGCCCTCTGGCCAGCATAGGACTTTGGGTAGTTATTCCCGCGTGAGGACGGCTCTCAGGCCACACGGGGACCCCAGTCCCCTGCCCCCCCTGGGGACGCCTCTCAGGTCACACAGAGACCCTCGGTCCCCTGCCCCCCTTTGGGAACGGCTCACATGCCACACAGGGACCCTCGGTCCCCTTCCCCCACTGGGGAATGGCTCACAGGCCACACGGAGACCCTCGGTCCCCTTCCCCCTCTTGGGAATGGCTCACAGGCCACACGGGGACCCTCGGTCCCCTTCCCCCCCTGGGGAACGGCTCACAGGCCACACGGGGACCCTCGGTCCCCTCCCCCCCCGGGAAGCGACTCTCAGGCCACACGGGGACCCTCGGCCCCATCTTTTCGTTTGGAGATGTCCTTCCGTGTGCGTGCAGTAGATCCTGTCGCTGGTGCGATTTTTTCCACCGCGACTAGTAAAGTCCCACTTCTGTGGTGTTGAGACCGTTTTTCTTAGGCGCTGCAGAGGCATTTCGTGTCACTACCGCGTCATTGGCGATTCCGTGCCGCAGGCGCGCGTGTGGCGATTTCGCCACTGACGCAGTGCCACATGCGAGTGTGGCGATTTCGTCTCTGGCGCGCGCCACTGGCGCCAATGGCGATTTCGTCCCTAGCGCGCGCCACTGGCGCCAGTGGCGATTTCGTCCCTAGCGCGCACCACTGGCGCCAGTGGCCATTTCGTCCCTGTTGCGCGCCACTGGCGCCAGTGGCGATTTTGTCCTTGCCGTGCGCCACTGGCGATTTCGTCCTTGGCGCACCAGTTGCTGTCTCCTCCGGCGCACTTCGCTTTCAATTGAACGCATGTCAAGTATAGTCGCAGGTCTGAAATTGTTACCACTCTTCACGGTGAACATGCGGGGAAGTGCGTGCGTAGCAGTTGGGGAAAACGAAGTAGTAAATGTGGCTTGTCTGCGAAGTAGTACTAGAATCAAGATGCCAACGGGAAACCGAGTGGTTGGACGAGAATGGACTGTAACTACAAAGTTCGACTGAAGACGTGGGTGGAGGCCAAATGGCCTCCAACCCTCGTTATATACTCGGCGAATGGTAATTCGCAGTTGCCTTGCTGCGCTACAGTCAGCTGCGCTTTCACAATACGCATTTTTAGAAAGTGTTACGCACTTAAAAAAAAATATCATATTTGCAAATGTGAGCGAGCTCACTTATTGGTGGAAATAATCTGCCGCAAGCAATGCATGGTTGGCTGCAATTCGAGCTGAGCCTTGAGAGCTTCGACATTAGTTGCCTCGCGATCAGTACTACTCGTGAACAACACCTGCAATGCAACACTATGGAGGTAAAAAACAAGCTTTGTACAAGGAGGAGGTGGGGGAAGTGAGCTGCATCACATACCATACTCAACTTGCTCGAACATTTAATTTGATATGCGAGTCTATGTGATAAATTTGACTTGTAAGCAGTTACGACATCCACACACAAGTCAAATTACTAAAGCGCATGTCATACTGTACTCTCAATTCTCAATTCTGTTACTGCTCATATGGTTCAATTTCTGCAAGCCAGGGTGAAACACAGGTACGAAAATGAGAGGATGATTCTCTCGCTCGTTTTTTATTTAGGTACAGCCCCAAGCCATTGGGTGAAAGGAAACGCAGTAGTGCAATAACGAGGTATTTCAAGACCATATATATGCCAGCTCAAAAGCCATCAAGTGGTTGTACGGTACTGGGCTGGGGTGGGTGAGGCACGCTGAGGGGGGTTGCATCTCCCTCATCATTTCCCCTTTCAGATGTTCCACCCATGCGGTAGAGCCAGCGTGAGGGATGTGATAGGGGTTTCTAAGGCCATGTTGAGATTGAACTATGGCAAATTAGCTCACAAGTCATTGTTTGGTTATGCTATGGTGGGGCGTGTGGCAGGGGTGCTCCTTCCGCTTGTCCCCTTGTTCTCCCTCTCTCAGTCACACCCCGAACCCCACCTCCCCTCTCTTCATCCTTCACCCCCCTTCCCTCCCATCACTTCATCACTCACCGCCCTGCCTCCTGTCCCTCTGTTCACAATCGTCCTCTCTCCATGCTTCATCACAATCTCTCTTTGTCCCTCCATCCCTCACCAACCTCCCCCCCCTCTCTCCATCTCTCACCACCCCACTGCCTCTCTCTCCATCCCTCACCACCCCACTGCTTCTATCTCATCCTTAACCACGCATACTCCTCTCCCTCCATCCTCCACCACTCTCCCTCCCTCCACACCACTCACCGCAACCACTCGTCCTCTAACTCCACCATTCTCCACCGTCCTCCCCCTCACCGAACCACTCACCACCACTTTTCTTCGCAAACCATGAGGTTTTACAGAGCAACTAATCAGGCGATCCCACCGCATCCGCGTGCGTTTCACCTGAAGCTCCAGATTTTCCCTCTTACGCTTCAGGTGGATTTCCTGATCGTTCAGGTTCTCGTGCTGTTGCTTCAGGTGCTCCTCCTTCTGCCTGACGTGTAACTCTTGCTGCTCCTTCTGTTCCCTTATGAGATCACCCTGCTGTATCAGGTGTTCATTCCGTTGCTTCAGGTGTTCCTCCAGGTGTCTCAGGTGGAATTCTTCCTCTTTCATGAGCATCTCCCTCTGTTTCAGGTGGAACTCCTGCTGCTCGTTCTGTTGCTTCAAGTAATCCCCCTGCTGTCTCAGGAGATGCTTCTGTTGCTTCAGGTGTTCTTCTTGCCACTTTAAGTGTATCTCTTCATCCTTCAGGAGCATCTCCTTTCGCCTCCTCAGGTGCTCCTTCTCTGTTGCCTTCAGGTGTTTCCTCAGCTTGCATGGTCGACCCCTCCTCCCCACAAAATCACGCACCTTCGTGCCCAGGTATCTCTTCTGCTGCCTCAGGTGACTCTTCAGGTGTTTTTTCCTGCCACCTCCTCCTTCTTCCTCCTCCCTTCCATCCATGTCCTCTCTTTCCCTCTCTCCCCAACCTCCTCCCTCTTCCTCCTGCTCTATTCGCACTTCCTCGTACCTCTCCCCTCCTCCCCTTTCCTCTTCCCTCTCCCCTCCTCCCTTTTCCTCTTCCCTCTCCCCTCCTCCCCTTTCCTCTGCCCTCAACCCTCCTCTCCTTTCGTCTTCCCTCTCCCCTCCTCTCCTTTCCTCTGCCCTCACCCCTCCCCCTCTTCCCTCTCCCTCACCCCCCCCTTCCTCTGCTTCTCCTCCTCCCTCTTCCTGTCCCCTCCAATAATCCTCGCCTCCTCCACATACCCCTTCCGCCCCGTCGTCCACTAATCGCCAACAGCCCTCCACATCCCCATCTTTCCCCACTTCCGCCCCCTTACCCACTCCACCTCGACCATCCACGTCACACGCTTCCCCCTCCTCACCCTCGCACCGATTCACCCCCCCAATCCCCATGCTACCCTCCTCCTTGGAACATAGGGAAAGGGGTGATCCCACCTCGTCTCCCTCAGCGCAGTCTCCTCCACAACCACTCCCAACCCCTTGAAGCTGCAGCACTACTCTCCCCGCACTGCCCTCATTATTTGGAACGGATTGCGCTGCTCCTTCTTCTGTCCCCTTCCCTCCTCCACCATAGCTGGCCTCCCCCTGAAGCTGCATCATCACTACCTTCACCACACTGCTCTCTCTGAGAGGGAGGATAAGAGATGCTCCCTCCTCTTCGTCCCTCTCCTCCCTGCTCCTTCCATCCTCTTCCCTCGCCTCCCCCCTCCTTACCTCTTCTCCACTCACCAAAATTGCTTGCCTCTCCCCTCCATGCTCCCCTTCCTCTCTGGAAGCCTCCTCGTTACTTTCCTCCTCCCTCCTCTCCTCTTCGTCCCTCTCCTCTCCCCACCTTTCCTCCTCATTCCTCTCCTTTCCCCTCTTGCTCTCTTCTAACCTTCTCTCCCACCTCCTTCCCTCCTCATCCACCTCCTCCCCCTTCTCTCCATCTTCCTCCTCCTCATCCCCCCCCTCCTCCTCCTCCTCCTCCTCCTCCTCCTCCTCCTCCTCCTCCTCCTCCTCCTCCTCCTCCTCCTCCTCCTCCTCCTCCTCCTCCTCCTCCTCCTCCTCCTCCTCCCACCTTCCCTCGTCTCCACTCACATAATCAATCTCCTTCTTCCCTCCACACCTCCGCACTGCTCCCCCACGCGCCTTCTTCCCCTTCTTCCTCTCCTCTCCCTCTGTGCCCCTCTCCTGCCCTCTCTTTCCTTCTTTCCTCCTCACATCATCACCCTCCTCGCCTCCAGGCTTCTCCACCGCTGCCCCGTGCCCCCTCTTCCCCTTCCTCCACCAATGCGCACTCTTTACCCCACCCCCACAGGCCCCAGTCCCCCCATCTCCGCCATCTACGCCAGGCACACCAGTTACCCCGCCCCCACTCCCCCCATCTCCGCCAGGCACACCAGTTACCCCGCCCCCACTCCCCCCATCTCCGCCAGGCACACCAGTTACCCCGCCCCCACTCCCCCCATCTCCGCCAGGCACACCAGTTACCCCGCCCCCACTTCCCCCATCTCCGCCAGGCACACCAGTTACCCCGCCCCCACTCCCCCCATCTCCGCCAGGCACACCAGTTACCCCGCCCCCACTCCCCCCATCTCCGCCAGGCACACCAGTTACCCCGCCCCCACTCCCCCCATCTCCGCCAGGCACACCAGTTACCCCGCCCCCACTCCCCCCATCTCCGCCAGGCACACCAGTTACCCCGCCCCCACTCCCCCCATCTCCGCCAGGCACACCAGTTACCCCGCCCCCACTCCCCCCATCTCCGCCAGGCACACCAGTTACCCCGCCCCCACTCCCCCCATCTCCGCCAGGCACACCAGTTACCCCGCCCCCACTCCCCCCATCTCCGCCAGGCACACCAGTTACCCCGCCCCCACTCCCCCCATCACCGCAATGCTGGGTCCTTGCATGCTGCAGCCCACCCCTGGTCCCTGTCTCTTCCCCGTGCTGCTTCCTTAGATGCTGTATCATGTCGTCTCGGCGCTTGAAGGTTCGAGGGCAGTGGGGATGAGAGCAGGGGTGCTGGTGGTTGGGGGGAAAGAGGGAGGGAAAGAAAACAAGTAGAGGAGAAGCAGATTGCACCTATTAGACCGCAGTGCTGCTTCCTACCATGCTGCTTTCTTAGACGCTGTATCGGCGCTTGAAGGTCTGAGGGCTGTGGGGATGGGAGCATGCGTGCTTGTGATTGGGTGGAGGATGCGGAAGGGAAAGAAAACAGGTAGAAACGAGGCGAGAGAGGGAGGCTAGGGTTGGAAAAGGCAATACGGACGAGGAATGAGGCAAGGGGAAGAGGAAAAAGAAGAGGACGAGGGCGGACTGTGAGAAGATAAATTGGAGGACTGAGGTGGGGGAACGGAAAGGGGGAGAGGGGGGAAGAGAGAAGGGAGAGGGTGGAAGTGGGGGACGAAAAGGGGAGAGAGGAAAGCTCACCCGGGGGGCATTGGGGTCGTGAATAACAAGGTGCCGCTTTAACCGGCCGTTGAATGCAAATGCCATTTGGCAATTTTCATGCGGACACACGAACTGATGCAGTGGAGGAGGAAAAAGGGAGCGAGGAGAAAAGGCGTTTTGAAGGTGTGTGAGAAAGGGAGTGAGTGGATGGGTGAGCATGTGAGCAAGTGATGGAGTGAGTGAGTGAGGGAGAGGGTGAGTGAGGGAGTGAGTGAATGATGGGGTGAGGGAGTGAGTGAGGAGCGAGCAAGTGAGTGAGTGAGGAGCGCACACCTGCTTCAAATGGGTGGCCATGTGTTTTGTGAACGTTGCTCTCTGAGCAAATTCCAATTCGCACTCTTGGCATGTGTACAACTCCTCATCCTCCTTCTCCCTCTCCTTCTCCTCCCTCTCCTTTTTCTTCCCCTTTGGACTGCCCTTCTTCACATCACCTGCCCCCCTCTCTCCCTCCTTTTCCCTCTCCAGGAGGGGAAAGAGGGAATGGGAGGGAGGGAAGGAGGAAAAGGATGAGGAGGGAGTGAAGAACAGAAAAATAGGGACGAGAAAGGACGAAGATGGGAAAGAGAATGTGGAAGGGGAGGACGGGAAAGAGGGAGGGGAAACGGGATGAAGATGCAAGGAGGAAGGCGGGAGAGGGAAAAAGGGGGGAGGGGAAGGGAGGGGATGGGGGGGGGGAAGGAGGGGGGAAGAGAGCTCACCCGGGGAGTATCGGGGCAGTGAGTGAGAAGGTGCCTTGATAACAGGTAGTTGAATGCAAATGCCCTTTGGCAATTCTCATGCGGACACACAAACTGCAGTAGTAGAAGGGACGATAAGGTAGAGAGGGGACGACAGGAGGTGAGGAAAACGAGAGTTGTTTCCAAATTGACTCAAAGGAAACGAGGGGAAGACGGGGAAAGGGGGAGAGCTGGTGGCACATGAGACATGTACTGTGAACTTGTGAGAGACAGGGAGAGGGTGAGTGAGTGAGGGAGCGAGGGATTGAGGGAGAGAAGGAGTGAGTAAGGGAGGGAGCGAGTGTGAGAGCGAGCGAGCCAGTTAGGGATTGAGGGAGTGCATGCGTGAGTGAGTGAGTGAGTGAGGGAGGGAGGAAGCGAGTGAGTGAATGACTGAGTGGGGGAAGCACACCTGCTTTGAGTGGGTGGCCATGTGATTCCTTAACTTCTTTCCTGTAGCGAAAGCCTTTCCACACTCTTCACACACGTGGAACTTCACATGCCCCCCCTCCTCCCTCCCCCTCTTCTTCATCTTACACTCCCCCATATCCGTCCCCTTCGCATTAATTTCCTCCCTCTCCTTCCCCTTCCCTTTTGGCTTTACACTCCCCACTTCCGCCGCATCTTTACTCGCTTCTGCCCCCACCCGCGGAACCCCTTCCGCTCGCGCAACCTCAAGCGGAACCTCCGCGTCTGTCCCCCGCGCCGGAACGAGCGGAACGGGCGGAAGCTCCGCGCCATTCCGCTGCGCCCGACGAGGCGGAAACCGCCGGACGTAGCACCTTAAAAGCGGCGGGCCGTTCCGCGGATTCGCACGTCCTAAAATCACGCCGATGCCCGTCGCACTTCCAGGCCCCTCAAAACCCGTTGCAAGACGCATGGCATTTTGCGAATCCATCGTGCTATAACCGGGCAGGGCTTCTTCGACTCTTGAGTCCCAAGGCCCAAGTCGCAAGGCGCAAGATGACTTCGGTTTATCTTTCGGTTTTCTTCCGGGTTTTTTTTTCGGTATAGGTAGGAAACTACGCGAATACCCGCTGCAGGGCGCATGACATCCGTCTAATCCATTATCTAATCCGGCAGGAACGACTCTCGTTCTCTCTCTAGCACTCGACGAGACCTGAATATTTTCTAGAAGTGACTATCAAACCGACTGTAGAAGCCATCTTCTACCTCTCTACTAGTCGTGAAACTCTCCCCTCCCGAATGCACTGAGTGCAGCTCGTAACGTCGACCCGCTTGATGCACACCCGCGCGTCTACTGGCCTCGTGGCTCTGTGAAATACTCCCACCCGCGCAGTATAACCGCCCCCCGCCCCCGTGTATAGTGAACTCTATTCACTCGCAAGGTAAAGAAACTGAGCGACAAAAAACAGGGCGACGGTAAAAGAAATTCGCATGGCGACGGTAAAGAGACGCAAAATGCGCACGAAGCAGAATTCGCGCTTCTTCTGTAGAAGCAGCTCAGCGCGAAAAGGAATTTCACGCATCATTGGTTGAGGGAGCTGTTGGGGCTGAACAATCATGGTTGCGACATTGGTTGCCCCGCGATATCACTTGGGAGCAGCACCTGCGCATACTTCATGTTAAAAGGAACAGTACTAACGGAAGTGTATAACAAAAGCAGGTTATTTGGGGGGTTCACACACTCAACTGAATTGAAGTCTAGTTCTAATTTTGCAGCTTTTGTGAGGACCTTTTCTTGCATGTCATTACATTAACACACAAAAACAAAAACCTGTAATGCTCAATTGCCTTCACGTGGTTACGCCATGGACCATGGTAAAGCACATGCGCAAACGCTTCTCCGAATTTGATTACCACTTTCTATGGTTCCGAGACAGAAAACCCCAGCAAGAGTGCAGAAATCAACCAGACGCTCAGAAAGCAAAGACAAACAGAGCAGGCCACAGAACCTCCTGTACAAAATGCAGCCTACTGGGAGAGCGCTTCGTGATAATAACTAGCTTTGAAACGCCTTCCATTGCAGTGCACCGGGGAAGGCCTTCTTTGCAGTGCATTGCCTAAGAGCAAACCGATGCAGGTGCATAAGCTGTTAGCTTCTCTTGCCCGGCAGGAGCCCAGCATAGATACTCAGCACGGAGTAACAAACTGCTTGTATGGATACCCAACTTCCAGACATCCCCTAGAATCATTCTTCCTCCTCTCTTGCCCTTCAATTTCCCATCCGTCCACTCACCACTCCTCCCTTCCCTACTCATCCTTCACCACACCCACCCTCCCCTCCCTCCATCCTGTACCACATCCCCACCTACTCTCCCTCCATTTTCCACCCAAACCACTCTTCTTTCTCATCCTTCACCACCCTCCCTCCTCTCCCTCCGTTCACCACGCCTCCTCTCAATCCATCTTCCACCAACCCCACCCTTATGCCATCACTCACCGCAACTTCCCTTCCTCTCCTCCTTCCATCCCGCACCATCCCCACTCCCTCCCCATCACTCACGCCAACCCCTCTTCCCAAACCCCGAGGACGTACAGAGCGGCAGTTGAGGCAACCCTTCCGATCTGAGTGCGCCCCTCCGCACCACTCACAATCACCCCTCTTTCCGAACCACGAGAAATTCCAGAGAAACGATTCAGGCAATTCTTCCGCATCCGAGTGCGTCTCACCTGAAGCTCCACCTGCTGTCTCCTACGCTTCAGGTGGTTTTCTTGATCGTTCAGGTGATCGTTCTGCTGCTTCAGGTGCTCCTCCTGCTGCCTCAGGTGCTCTTTCTGATGGTTCAGGTGTTCTTCCTTTTGCCTCAGGTGAAAATTTTCCTCGTTCAGGTGCTCCCCCTGCTGCCTCAGATGATCTTTCTGTTGCTTCAGGTGTCCTTCCTTCTGCCTCAGGTGAGTCTCTTCCTCCTTCAGGAGCTTCTCTTTCCGCCTCAGGTGCTTCTTCTCTGTTGCCTTCAGGTGTTTCCTCAGCTTGCATCGACGTCCCCTCCCCAAAAAATGATGCACCTTCGTGCCCAAGTATCTCCTCTGCTGCCTCAGGTCGCGTTTCAGTTGCCTTGTCTTTGAACCTGCCCCCTCCTCTTTTACTCCTCCTCCTCCTCCTCCTCCTCCTCCTCCTCCTCCTCCTCCTCCTCCTCCTCCTCCTCCTCCTCCTCCTCCTCCTCCTCCTCCTCCTCCTCCTCTTTCTTCTTCTCCTACACACCTTCTACTTCTCATCGCCCCTCTCCTTGTAAACCCCTCTCTCCGAGGTGCTCCAACTCTAGCTGCTGCCCGCTCCTTGCTCATCCACCGATCTTGAATGCTTTGTGCTGACTCCAAACGAGTCTCGTTTCCTGCATCACGCCTGCTCCTCTTCCGCCCTTTCTGCACGCTTGTGTGCGCCTCTTGCCGCACCTCCCCTTGCCGCACCTCCCCTTGCCGCACCTCCCCTTGCCGCACCTCCCCTTGCCGCACCTCCCCTTGCCGCACCTCCCCTTGCCGCACCTCCCCTTGCCGCACCTCCCCTTGCCGCACCTCCCCTTGCCGCACCTCCCCTTGACGCACCTCCCCTTGCCGCACCTCCCCTTGCCGCACCTCCCCTTGCCGCACCTCCCCTTGCCGCACCTCCCCTTGCCACACCTCCCCTTGACGCACCTCCCCTTGCCGCACCTCCCCTTGCCGCACCTCCCCTTGCCGCACCTCCCCTTGCCGCACCTCCCCTTGCCGCACCTCCCCTTGCCGCACCTCCCCTTGCTGCACCTCCCTTTGCCGCACCACCGTGTTTTGAAGTGCCTTATAAGTTGCGTGCACCTCTTGCTCAGCCTCTTGCTCAGCCTCCGCACCTTCCTCCTTCCTTCCATCCATGCCCTCTCTCTCCCTCTCCCTCTTTCCTCTTTCCTCTGCCCTCTCCCTTATCCCCCCTCCCTCTTTCCTCTCCCCTCCTCTTCCTTCCTCTACCCTCTCCCATCCTCCTCTTTCCTCTACCCTACTCCCCTCCTCCTCTGCTTCTTCTCTACTCCCGTCTTGCTCCATCCAATCATTCTCTCTCCCCCCATATAGCCCCACTGCCCTATCTTCCACCAACCCCTCAGCTTCTCCTACTCCCCCACTTTCTCCCAACTCCACATCTTCCCACACATTTTCCCCCACTTCCTCCCCTTTCCCCATTACACCTCGACAATCTATGTCACATGCACCCCGCTCCTCTTTCTCACACTCATTCAACACCCCACTCCCCACACTGCCCTCCCCATCAGGACAGACGAGAAGGGGTGCTCGCTCCTCGTCCTCCCTCACAGCATAGCCTCCCTCCTCGTCCCTCTCCTCCCTTTTCCTTTCTCCTTCCCAGTCTTCCCTCCTTTCCTCCTCCCCCCTCCTTTTTTCCTCCTCGCCCTTCTCCCACCCCCTCCTTTCCTCCTCGTCCTTCTCCCCCCTCTTTTCCTCCTCCCCCTTCCTTTGCTCTTCCTGCCCTCTCGTACCATCTTCCCCACTCACAGAATCAGCCTTATTCTCGCCTCCATGCCTCCTCACCGCTCCCCCAGGCGCCCTTCCCCTTCTTTCCCCAATGCGCACTCTTTGCCCCACACCCACTCCTCCTCACATGATACTCCATGCAGTCTCGGCGCGTGAATGTCCGAGAGCAGTGGGGATGAGGGCACGGGTGCTGGTGGTTTGGGGGGGGGGGGGGGGGGGGCGGGTGGGGGATGGGGAGAGAGAACAGGGAGAGGAAACAAAAGACGCCTTGAAAACGCTGCAATGCTGCTTCCTTGCACGCTGCAGCTTCCCCCCACTCCCCCCACTCCCCCTCTTCCCCGAATCCGAATGCTGCTTCCTTGCATGCTACTCCATGCAGTCTCGGCGCGTGAATGTCCGAGACCAGTGGGGATGAGGGCATGGGAGCTGGTAATTGGGGGAAGCAGGGAGGGGGATGGAGAGAGCATGGGTGCTGGTGATTGGGGGGCAGGGAGAGAAGTGGAGAGAGCATGGGTGCTGGTGATTGGGGGGCAGGGAGAGAAGTGGAGAGAGCATGGGTGCTGGTGATTGGGGGGCAGGGAGAGAAGCGGAGAGAGCATGGGTGCTGGTGATTGGGGGGCAGGGAGAGAAGTGGAGAGAGCATGGGTGCTCGTGGCGTTTGATTGAGGGCTGGATGGAGAAACAAGGCTCATTCAAAAAAAACAAAAGCTGTTGTTATTTGGTTTTTGTTTTTTGTTTTTTTTTTTTGCTGGTGATTGGGGGGGGGCAGAGAGAGCGTGCCTGTGTTACTTGAGGGCCGTATGGGGGGGAACCAAGGCAAGGCTTTGGAAGGAGAAACACAGCTTTTGGTTTGCTTGGTCGTCCAAGGGGAGGGAGTGTAAGGAGGGAGTGTAAGGAGGCGAAGGGATGGAACAAGGAAAGATGATGGTGGTAAAAGGGAAGGCAGAGATTTGAAGATAGAAAGGGGAGGAGTAGGGTGGGGTGGGGGGAGGGGGGGAGCAAGGGAAACCCACCCGGGGAGCGTTTGGGTTGTGCACAATCAAGTGCCTCCGTAACTTGTAACCTGATGCAAACGCCTTGTTGCAATCTGCTTGTGGGCACACGAACGACCTGTGCAGCTAAAGAGAATTGAGGACAGGGACAGATGCACAGGCAGGCAGAGGAAAGAAGTGACTCGAGTGCCTATAGGGCGATTGCATGCGGACACACAAACGACCTGTGCAGCTGAAGAGAATTGAGGACAGAGACAGATGCACAGGCAGGCAGAGGAAAGAAGTGACTCGAGTGCCTATAGGGCGATTGCATGCGGACACACAAACGACCTGTGCAGCTGAAGAGAATTGAGGACAGGGACAGATGCACAGGCAGGCAGAGGAAAGAAGTGACTCGAGTGCCTATAGGGCGATTGCATGCGGACACACGAACGACCTGTGCAGCTCAAGAGAATTGAGGACAGAGACAGATGCACAGGCACGCAGAGGAAAGAAGTGACTCGAGTGCCTATAGGGCGATTGCATGCGGACACACGAACGACCTGTGCAGCTGAAGAGAATTGAGGACAGGGACAGATGCACAGGCAGGCAGAGGAAAGAAGTGACTCGAGTGCCTATAGGGCGATTGCATGCGGGCACACGAACGACCTGTGCAGCTGAAGAGAATTGAGGACAGGGACAGATGCACAGGCAGGCAGAGGAAAGAAGTGACTCGAGTGCCTATAGGGCGATTGCATGCGGACACACGAACGACCTGTGCAGCTGAAGAGAATTGAGGACAGGGACAGATGCACAGGCAGGCAGAGGAAAGAAGTGACTCGAGTGCCTATAGGGCGATTGCATGCGGACACACGAACGACCTGTGCAGCTGAAGAGAATTGAGGACAGGGACAGATGCACAGGCAGGCAGAGGAAAGAAGTGACTCGAGTGCCTATAGGGCGATTGCATGCGGACACACGAACGACCTGTGCAGCTGAAGAGAATTGAGGACAGGGACAGATGCACAGGCAGGCAGAGGAAACAAGTGACTCGAGTGCCTATAGGGCGATTGCATGCGGACACACGAACAACCTGTGCAGCTGAAGAGAATTGAGGACAGGGACAGATGCACAGGCAGGCAGAGGAAAGAAGTGACTCGAGTGCCTATAGGGCGATTGCATGCGGACACACGAACGACCTGTGCAGCTGAAGAGAATTGAGGACAGGGACAGATGCACAGGCAGGCAGAGGAAACAAGTGACTCGAGTGCCTATAGGGCGATTGCATGCGGACACACGAACGACCTGTGCAGCTGAAGAGAATTGAGGACAGGGACAGATGCACAGGCAGGCAGAGGAAAGAAGTGACTCGAGTGCCTATAGGGCGATTGCATGCGGACACACGAACGACCTGTGCAGCTGAAGAGAATTGAGGACAGGGACAGATGCACAGGCAGGCAGAGGAAAGAAGTGACTCGAGTGCCTATAGGGCGATTGCATGCGGACACACGAACGACCTGTGCAGCTGAAGAGGGGAGAAATGAGGGGAGTCAGAGACGGGGCAGAGCGGCAGCCAGGCAGAGGAAAGAACTGAGTAGATTCATTTTTTAGGATTCTCTTTTGAGAATTCTCAAGAATGAGGCGAGTCAGAGACGGGGCAGAGCGGCAGCCAGGCAGAGGGAAGAACTGAGTGGAGCGGCTTCACTGGCTGCTTGTGTTTCCCTGTTCGCGCTTTGCTTGTAGGCGAGCAGCAACGTAGGAGCAAGCCGGAGCTCTTCACGAAGCAAGGCATGCGAGTTCACAGGAATGAGCTCTAACGTGGAAGGGGCAATATGGGAGAGAAAGAGAAGACGACGAGGGGAAGAGAGGGAAACGAGTAGAGATGTCACCAGTCGCATGCAGCAGTGAGGGAGTGAGAGAGTGAGCGAGTTAGTGAGTGAGGGAATGACCAAACCACACCTGCTTCGAGTGGGTGGCCATGTGTTTCCTTAACGTTGCTGGTCCCTCCTCTCTGCCCCTCCCACCTCCACCAGTGCTGCCCTCCCCTCCTCCTCCACCAGTGCTGCCCTCCCCGTGAAGCTGCACCGCTGCTCTTCCCGTGTTGCCCTCCCTCACAGGCAAGGATTGAGTTGCTGCTCCCTGCTCTGATGCTACCTGCTCTGATGCTACCTGCTCTGATGCTACCTGCTCTGATGCTCCCGGCTCTGTCTCCCCCCGTCCTCCACTATCATTGCCCTCCCCTAGAATCGGCATCACAAACCTTCTTATGCTGCCAGTATCGCCAAGCAAGGATTGAGCTCCTCCCTCCTCTTCCCCCCTCCCTCCTCGAAGAACATTTCCCACAGCTTGCAGCTGCTTCACTTCCCGTCTCACGCTGGCCTCCCTCACGTGTTTTTTGAGAATTCTCAAAAAACTCACGCTGGCCTCCCTCACAAGGGGGGTTGTCACTCCCTCTACTTCATCTCTCGTATTTCCTCCCCAATTCCCTTCATCCCCCTCCTCCCTCCTTCCCTCTTCATTTCTCTCCTCGCCTTTCCGCTCCTCGCCTGTCTCCTCCCCCTTCCGCTTTCCTTCCCTTTCCTCCCCCCACTCTCCCTCTTTCCCCCCTACAAAATCAGCCTCCTTCCCTCCATTCCTCCCCACCGCTCCCCTGCGGGCTCTCTTCCCCTTCTTTTCCCACCCCTTCAGCTCATCGCTTAAACCAACCCTACTACCTTCCTCTCCAGACTTTTGAGGCGCCTCAAACGCCTTGAGCTCATTGCTTAACCCAACCCCACTCCCGCCCTCCCCACACGAAACACCGGCTACCCCGCCCCTAGTCCCCCAGTCCCCACTGTGATCCACCCTTACATGGAACACCAAAGTATCTCGGTACTTGAAGGCTCGGAGACAATGGGGATGATGAGGGCACGGAAGCTGGTGATTGGTCGGGGGTGTGCAGTTGGGAAAAGTAAACAGGGAGGGGATTGATCAAGCCGCAAGTGGTCAGTCCTTACATGTTACACCAAAGTATCTCGGTACTTGAAGGTTCGGAGACAATGGGGATGATGAGGGCACGGGAGCTGGTGGATTGAACGGGGGTGGTGGGGGGAAGAAAACAGGGAGAGGATTGATCAAGCTGCAAGTGTTCCGTCCGTACATGGTGCACCAGGGTATCTCGGTACTTGAATGTTCGGAGACAATGGGGATGGTGAGGGCACGGGAGCTGGTGGATTGATTGAGGGTGTGCGGGTGGGGAAGAGAACAGGGAGAGGAAAGATAAGACGCATCAATTAAGCTGCAATTGCTGAGGCAGGCGAGTGAGGAAAGGCAGGTGAAGAGGGGAGGGGGAGTGGGAATAGTCACTTTGGAGAAGAAGGAAATTGATGATGAGGTTGGGACACTTCGAAGAGGAAGGAAGAGGAAGAAGATGGGGGACAGGCGGGAGTTGGTTCACAAAGGTGCCTAGTCAGCCAATCGGTCTTCAAGCATTGGGGAAAACGGGGAATAACGAAGTAGGTGAGAACAAGGAAAGCTCACCCGAGGGGCGTTGGGCTGGTGCACTAGAAGGTGCCTTGTTAGCCGGTATTTCTCGGAGAACACCTTGCAGCAACCCACGTGCGGGCACACAAACGACCTCCGCTGCAGAGCAGAAGGGAGGGGGCATGAGGCGCAATGAGGGAAGGGAACAAGTTTGTTTCGAGGCGTCTCAGAACATTTCTAGGCGAACGCAAGGTGGCACTTAGCTGGTAATTCCCGGCAAACACCTTGCGGCAACCCACATTCGGGCACACAAGCCACAACTGCTGCACAACAGGGAAGGGGTATGGGGTGCAAGTTTGCTATGAAACGTCTCGAAAAAATTCTCGGCAAACACCTTGCGGCAACCTAAATGTGGGCACACAAATGACCTCTGCTGCACAACAGGGAAGGGGGAACGGGAGAGAGAGCAAGAGGGGGGAACACTTTTTGAGACGCCACAAACGGAGAGAGAACAAGAGGGGGAAAGGCGAGAGATAAGGTTTGAGCTGGCACCAGAAACCTGGAGAAACGTAATTGTGCATGAACGAGAGTGTTGAGTTCAGTGAGTGAATGAGTGAGCGCAAGAGGGAGAGCGTGTGTGAGTGCGTGAGTGAGTGAGCAGGTGAGGAGGCGAGTGAGTGAGAGGGAGAGTGAATGAGGAAAACGCACCTGTTCAGGATGGGCGAGTGGGCGAGTGAGTGAGTGAGAAGCCACGTGCTCCCTTAACCTTGCCCGCCGATCAAAAGCCTTGCCACATGCCTTGCAAGTATGCCGCTTCTCATGCCCCCCCTCCCCCCTCTCTACCTCCCTCTCCCTTTCCCTCTCCACCGTTCCTTTCCCCTCCTCTCTGCCTTTCCCTCCCTCCCTTCCCTCGGTCGTCAGGCCTTCGTTTTCCTTCCCACTCTCACCAGATAGCTTGTTAATATCCTGCCACCTACTATCCCCCCTTCTCTCCCTCTCCCCCTCCCCCTCGTCAGGCCCTATTGGAACTTCCACCACATCATCATCCTCCCCTCCCTCGCACTCCCCCTCATTCTCCCCCCCACACTCCCTCACACACAATGTTAGAGGGCCCTACAACAGCAAGGGCCCTCGATCACCTTTGACTTGGCAGGTCGACGCCTAACGACTGAGTCTACTCGGCACCGATGAATGAGTTCAGTGAAGGTCGGGTGTGACTACGTGTGACTATGTGCAACTGCGCAGGAGTTCGCATGAAGAAGCGAGAGTCCGTGGGAGTCGTTGGTGCTTCCTTGAGAGTCGCACCACTCCTTGCTGTGTTGGTGGAGTGGTGTGCACGGAAGCGAGAAGTCGATGCTGAGTTGGGTTGGGAAATTGGCGAGGCGCGTTCGCTCACCCACACACCACTTTCGTGGGGTTGGGTTACTCGCAGCGCCCACGCAACCTCTTGTGAAACCCTCGCCTGCCTATATATGTTTGTGTTGCTTATGTGTTTGATATATATTTTCTATGTTCCTAGTGAAGTCCAAAATGCTACTTCAATTCTCACCAAGTCCTTAGAGGCAAACGCTACCGAAACTCTACCAAGTTACTGGCGCAACATCATTCCCATAGCAGAAACTCTCTCGTTATCGCTACGCTCTCTAATAGATTCCTTCATGGTGCGGTGAGCGTGGAACGAACACGCATAGATTTCCGTCGTCGTTGATATTCGCGTTCGTATACTCGCCTTGGCGTGCGGCGTTAGTGAAGGGCGCTTATTAATCTAAGTTGAACCTCTCTTGATTTCCCTCCAGTTACGTTCTCGGACCCAAGGATAGGGCGTTTGGTAATTTATTACCACTCGTCTGAGGACCCTTGTGAGGTGACCCCGAGACGAGGGATTTAAGGAAGGGGCACTTTATTTTAATTTGTGGTACCTTATAGAGACGTCGTAGAGGATGAGTACTGAGGAGGCGAACGTGGAGGCCGGTAATTTGCGCACTCTAGAGGAGGATCTCGTGGCTCGTCATTCTCGTGGTGAGATTAGTGATATTGAATACGAGCTAATGTTGGAGGGATTGCGCTCGCGTCAGCGTCGTGAGCACCCTTCCCCACGTGTAGAGAATGTTGAGCAAGTTGCGGGAGGTACTAGTGCGTGGGATATGGCTGTCGATTGCGGAAATAGCGATGACGAGGAGTTTGATGGGTTGATGTCGCGTGGGGTCCTGCGAAGACCAACTCGGTTTAGTACGGCTAGCGTCGGCGGTGTACAGGAGCGTGTTCATCGTGCAGCAGCGTCACGAGAGCATGCGAATGTAGGACGGCGAAGCGTTGCTGGGGGAGGAATTGCGGAAGAGTTCGATAGTGAGACTATGCCGGGCGTTACCCCGATTGGATCGATGTCGAGGGACGATGGAATAGCCCCCAACTATGGCTACTTCAGATTCACTCCAGACAAGATCGTTGTCACTAGTCCGTTAGAAGGACGTCACGACCTGTCGACGTGGACAGAATCAATCGAGCCGCAGCTTGAGATCGCTCAGCTAAATCGATTCATAGATGGCACCACCCCTATTCCACCAGCGCGTGCGCTTGCGCATCTCTCTCAGTTCCGCGCGATGCAGTTGCTGACATTCACCACTATTTCCCGATGCTGCTCCCCAACCGTACAGATCGCCCTTAAGGCGTGTCGCATGAAGGTTGATGCCGGCTATCAGGCATGGCAGTTTATTATGCGCACGTACATGGCGAAGGACGATCTGTACATCGGTCAGTTAGAGCAGGCGCTCACTAACCTCGAGATGGGAGAGCATGAGTCCGCTACGTCCTATTGCAACCGTGCGCAGCAGATCCTAGTGAACCTGAGGATGGCCGGCGTAGATTACTCGCAGGCGTCGTACATCACTCACGTTGTGAAGGGGTTGCCGCAGCAGTACAACCTCTTACGCAGGATGCTGAAGTTGCCGCAGGTGCGCAAGGAGTTGGACGAGAACACCCTCGCTAGCTACATCATCGAGGAGGAATGTACGCTGGCGTCAGAGGGACGAAAGGACCAATTCCTTCCCCAGGCTAACCAGGTCTTTACCAAGAAGGGTAAGCCCCAATTCCAGCAAAATTCGTTCCCTTCCCCTCCCACTACGGCACAGCAGCAACAACCTAAGAATGGGGGTGGGCTTAGTGGGGGAGGGGAGAAGTGGAAAGGGGGTAAGGATGGCCAGCCGAAGGGGGGGAAAGGGGGCTTCAAAGGGAAGTGCTATGTGTGTGGACAAATAGGGCATGTTGCTAAGTACTGTCAGCAGCGGGCGGATAAGGAGGCAGACACCGGTGGAGAGGGTTCTGGAGGTAGCAGCGGAAAGGGGGGTGATGGCTCTAAGGGGAGCGGGCAATCATCATGTGCGATGGTGAAGCCCGTTGTGGAGCAGACTCCTCTCGTTGTGCTAGAGCCTGAGGGCGAGGAGGCCTTAGAGGCTGTTGCAGCTGCTGTGAAGGCGAACCCGAGCGTCGTGCTGCTTGATAGCGGATGCTCCCACCATCTCATGGGAGATCGTTCTGCCTTTGTGGAGATGAGCAGCGGCGGCAGTATTAAACAGGTTACTGGCTTCAACGGCGCGCTTCAGGAGGTGCAGGGGCAGGGCACAGTCGCTCTTCTTGGAGAGGGGGGCAGGCGTGTCTTGGTGCCGGACGTGCTGTACGTACCAGGAGTGCAGGCGAGTCTTCTCTCTGCTGGGCAGCTGCGTGAATGTGGTGTGCAGTTGCTGGATGCCGGGGATGTAACTTTGCTGCGGGCACCAGATGGATCGCTCCTTGGTCGTGCGGAGTTCAAGGGGCGTGTTCTCTGCACGAACTTCCAGCCGTGTTCGACGCAGCAGCAGGAAGGCGAAACGGTGGCACTTCGTACCTTGGCGACGGGCGTGCGGTCTAAGGGGGACCTGTGGCATGCGCGTATGGCACACGTTGGTATTGATGCCATCGAGCGCACAGCGGCTCACGGGTCAGTGAAGGGCTTGGATTTGGAGAAGGGGGGCAAGTCAGGCATACCTTGTGTTTCCTGTGTTGGGGGAAAGATCACTCGTCATACCTTTCCTTCTGTGGGAGAGGAGGAGGATGAGTTGCTCGGGGTGGTGCATGCTGACCTGTGTGGCCCTTTTCGTGAAGCAGCTAAGGACGGCAGCCGCTACTTCTTGGTGCTGAAGGATCGCAAGACGCGATATGTCTGGGTCTACCCTTTGGCCCAGAAGAGTGATGCGCTGGCGGCGTTCCAAAAGTGGCTCCCGATGGCAGAGCGACAGTGCAAGACCACGGTGCAGGCGCTGCGCACTGATCGGGGTGGCGAGTTCCTGGGGCACGACTTCACGCTCTTCCTCGACGGTAAAGGCATCATCCATGACCTCACATGCCCGTATACGCCAGAGCAGAACGGGATGGCCGAGAGGGAGATGTGCAGCATTGTGGAGGCGGTGCGGACGATGTTGCTGCACATGGGTGTGCAGCATCACTGGTGGCACCTGGCGTTGGCTCAGGCCGTCTGGGTGCGCAACCGCGTGGAGCACGCCTCACTACCCTCTGGTGTGACGCCGTACGAGCTCGCCTTCCGACGCAAACCTGATGTCAGTATGGTGCGTGTTTGGGGCTGCATGCTGCAATACATGGTACCACGGTCGCAGCGTGGGGGGAAGCTGGCGCCTAAGGCTCGCTGG